CTGGGTTCAGGTAATATTTCTTAAGGGTCTTCTTGACTGTGAGTTAACTCCCCCGGAAAAAAGAGCGTCCAAATTCAGGGAACATTATACTGAGTATAAGACACTTCCACCTACTATTTTGAGGGGGCCTTATCTTCTCTTTGACTTTTGTTTATTTTTAATTTTTTATTGATTTTATTGAGCTATACATTTTTCTCTGCTCCCCTTCCTTCTTCTCCCCTCCCCTTCAACCCTCTTTCATGGTTCCCATGCTCCCAATTTACTTAGGAGATCTTGTCTTTTTCTACTTCCCAATGTAGATTAGATCCACGTATGTCTCTTTTAGGGTCCTTATTGTTGTCTAGGTTCTCTGGGATTGTGATTTGTAGGCTGGTTCTCTTTGCTTTATGTTTAAAAACCACTTTTGAGTGAGTACATATATTTGTCTTTCTGGGTCTGGGTTACCTCACTCAATATGATGCTTTCTAGATCCTTCCATTTGCCTACAAATTTCAAGATGTCATTTTTTCTGCTATGTAGTACTCCATTATGTAAATGTACCACATTTTCCTTTTCCATTCTTCAGTCGAGGGGCATTGAGGTTGTTTCCAGGTTCTGGCTATGACAAACAATGCTGCTATGAACATAGTTGAGCATATATCCTTGTGGTACAATTGAGCATCCTTTGGGTATAAACCCGAAAGTGGTATTGCTGGGTCTTGAGGAAGGTTGTTTCCTAATTTTTTGAGAAATTACCATACTGATATCCAAAGGGGCTGTATCACTTGCACTCCCACCAGCAATGCAGGAGTGTTCCCTTTACCCCACAACCTTTCCAGCATAAGTTGTCACCAGTGTTTTTGATCTTGGCTGTTCTTACAGGTGTAAGATGGAATCTCAGAGTTGTTTTGATTTGCATTTCTCTGATGGCTAAGGATGTTGAGCATTTCCTTAAGAGTCTTTCAGCCATTTTAGATTCCTCTGTTGAGAGTTCTCTGTTTAGATCTGTACTCCATTTTTTTCTTATTGGATTATTTGTTCTTTTGATGACCAATTTCTTGAGTTCTTTGTATATTTTGGAGATCGGTCCTCTATCTGATGTGGGGTTGATGATCTTTTCCCATTCTGTAGGTTATCGTTTTGTCTTGTTGACTGTATCCTTTGCTTTACAGAAGCTTTTCAGTTTCGAGAAGTCCCACTTATTGTTTCTCTGTGTCCTGGCCCCAATACCTAAGATGCCCTTTAATATAGAAGGCAATAAATAACTGTCCCTTGTTATCTACAGGGGACTGATTCTAGGAGCTCCGATAGGGAGCAGAATCTACAATGCCATTTTTTTTTACATAAAAAGCATGTATTTGCATAGAATTCACATACTCAGCTGGGCATTCGTGGCACATACCTTTAGTCCCAGCACTCATGAGGCAGAGGCAAGTGGATCTCTGCGAGTTCAAGGTCAGCCTGGTCTACAGAACAAGCTCCAGGACAAGATCCAAAGCTACAAAGAGCAACCCTGTCTCAAAAACACTTCTGAAAACAAAATCAAAATAAAAATCCCCACAAAACCACACTGTGTTTTGGTTCTGTGGTCAGTAGACCCATCGGTGTGAAACATCGGTGTGAAAAACAAAAACAAATAAAAACAATAACCAAAACCAAATAACTGACCAAAAAGAAAACATTCTCTGTAGGCAGCTCTCCCTACAGGTGCATATCTGTTCAAACTGTTTTATGGCATGATACACACAATGCTGCAGCTCCATGACAGAGCACTTCCCTAGCACACAGAGGGTTACCTGCAGCACTGGAAAAAATAAGAGCATTGTTTCCAATCCTTGGAAATAATAGGCTATGAGTGTTGGGTGTGGCTAAGGAGGGAAGGGCTGGAAGTGGCTGCAGGACAGCCTGTCTGCAAATCAATCTAAGTCACAGCCCAAGGACACTCTCTTGCTCCACCTTCTAGACCACAAGGGCCATCAACACAACATAGCTTCACACCTGTCTACATACCGTTGCTCTAGAACCAGAGTTAAAGAACCAGATAGGCCCAGCCAATGCTATCTGCAGGTCTAGGAAACGGCTGCTTTGTAAGTAGCTTTTGCCTCTGGAGACGTAAACTTTTGGTGGCATTTTTCAGCTGCAGCTGCTGACACTGAGTGACCCCTCGCACCTTGAGAGAAGTCGCATACTCTGGGAAAGTTGAGATGGCCCAGGCAAGTGGTACAGCTTCTCCATCACATCTCCTGACCCAAGCTCTACAGTTGGGGCTATCAGGAAGGCAGATGGCTGCATTACACAAACATCAGTTAAATGCCACTTTTTCTGAAGCCCTAGAATTAAGTTGAAGTCCTGTGTATTTGTGGGACACCTAACGTGAGGCTCTGCTTAGCCGACTCCTGTTTGTGGGCTTTTCTATCAATTCTCCTGTGTGTGTGTGTGTGTGTGTGTGTGTGTGTGTGTGTGTGTGTGTGTGCAGATTCCCAAATATGGAGTTAATTTGATCTAAGTTGCAAGAATTAGTTCTGTATTATCAAGCCATGGGCATGTCCAAACCCATTTAGGAGGTTTAATTAACACACAAGCAGCCAGCTGTGAACGGTTTGCAGAACAAGCCAGGTTTATTCCATGACTGTCTGTGGAAGCAATCCTGTGGGGAGCCTCCCACAGAGCTGCCATTCTGCTTGCAATGTGACACTTTCAGGGGAATGACTTAGATTACAAATAACAGCACCATGGGCAGTGCTGTTAGATGGTGACCATTTTATCAAGTGCCACCTCCACCAGGGCTGGAGGACACTGCTCCACAGGTCAGCTGAAAGGTGAGAACACACTCCTCATATCATGTTCGCTCACCAGGCTGCATGCCCTGCTTCTTGAACACCTCAGCTCCCGGGAGTGGACCCAGTGCTATGAGATTCAAGACTTCCAATGATCTTTACTACTTACAGGTGTACAAGACTTAATTCTGAGATCAAGAGTTGCAGAACCGGATGAATGAGAACAAAGTATGACACACAGGTATGAAAACTCCATGAAACCTGTGGTGGTTTGAGTAAGAATGGCCCCATCGGCTCATATATTTGAGTGTCTGGTCATCGGTGAGTGGCACTGCTTGAGAGGATTAGGTGTGACCTTGTTGGAGGAAGTGTGTCACTGGGGGTGGGCTTTGAGGTTTCAAATGCCGGAGCTAGTACCAGTGTTTCTCTCTTCTGTTGCCTGCAGATCCAGATGTAGAAATCTTAATCACTTTCCCACACCATGTCTGCCCATGTGCCACTATGCTCTCTACCATGGTAACAATGGACAAGCCTCTGAAACTGTAAGCAAGCCCCATTTAAATGCTTTCCTTGTTAAGAGCTCTGTGTAGTTGGGCGGCGCTGGCACACGCCTTTAATCCCAGCACTGTGGAAGCAGAGGCAGGTAGACCTCTGAGTTTGAGGCCAGCCTGATCCACAGAGTAAGTTCCAGGACAGCAAGAGGTTACACAGAGAAACCCTGTTTGGGGGAAAGAAGAAAAAGAGAAAAAGAGTTGGTGTGATCATGATGTGTCTTCACAGCAAGAACACTAAGACGAAACCCATTATTTTGCACACTAGTTAAAAAAAAATCTTGTATTGCAAAATAGAATGTCTGTGGCTCATCACCATGACAGAATCTATATTGCACAGACACCAGGGTGAACACTTGTGACAGGCTATATGTAGTCTGTGCTCACTTAGAATTTTTCTGTAAAACTACTTCAAACTCAGTGCTCCTGTTTCAGCCTTCAAGTGCATGGATTACAGATGTGCAGCCTTACACCTGGCTCACCCATGACTTCATGTGTGGTGTACACATGTGTATATGTTCATGTGGGTACACACACAAGTGAGCATGCACGTGGGGGCCAGAGGTCAATGTCACTGGGCGTCTTCCTCAATCACTACTTCGGTTAATGTTGGATGAACTGAATCTATAGTCAACCACTTTGGCTACACTGGCTGGCCCATGAGCTCCCAGGATTTGCCTGTCTGCCCCTCCTCCTCCAGGGTAACCATGCTGGTGTGCCCAGCTTTTTACATGGGTGCTCGGAATATTAACTCAGGTCCTCAGGCTTGTGTGGCAAGCACTATACTGCAGATGGAGTCACATTCCTAACCCAACTTTCATGACTTTTAAGGTAGGGTGACAGTTAAGACTGCTTGTACTTGATTCACATGAATGCCACAAGAATTAGCAACACCCTGTCTAGCTTCTGTAGACCTTCACTACTCTCATGCCTGCTCCAACTCTGATGTGATTCCAGAGTCTACTCAGGTCTGAGAAGAAATTCTTCCAGTGGGACAGGTCCCTAGAAACTCCCCAGAAGTTAAGAAAGGCATGTAGTATGTGCCTTGTGTTTGGAAGGAATGGATTTCTACAACATATGACATCTTTAGTCCCTGGTTGCTGCTGGCCAGCTGATCATCAGAGTCACCCAGAAAATGGTATTTTATTTTTAATATTTTTAAAAAGTAATTTTAAGGTTTAATTTTTATGAGTATTCTCCTGTACATGTATATACCTGGTGACTGCAGTTACAGACGGCTGGCAGCACTATGCCCAGTACTCGTAAGCACTGAGCCATCTCCCCTGTACCCAAGAACTGTATTTTAAACACTTTGATTCCCTGATGACTCTAAGGTGCTCAGCAGGGTAGGTAATATGCAGTCATAACGCACTCCCGGTGTCCCCAGTGTCCATTGAACCTGGGCGCACAACTACACATGGCACTTCCCGGACTTCAGCGTTCATGGTCTCCCCCGGGGAGTGCCAGAACTAGGATTCCAATGTGCACAGGTTGCAGAGAGGTTTGGTATTCTGAACTTGTAGATCTGAGTGATGGGGCCGTACCTGTGCTCATCTCGATCCGCGTCCTTATTGCCTGTGTCTGAACTGCTGCCTGGATTTGCCTTCACTAAGGCAACCTTCAGCCGATGGTGGGACCTTCCTTTTGGGTTCCCACTTCTACAGTCCCAGTATGGTCAGGAAATAAATGCACATTCATTATAATGGGTTTATTTGGTACAAAAGGACAGAGAGATAATTCTGTTTATTTTAAAGGACTAAGACACAAAGTCTGCAAAAGCTCTACACATGGGTGATCTGTAAGATGGGGGATGGAGAGGAGACACGACAACACATGGCTTTATTCTGAGTGGCCTCCAGCTCTTCATTCTAATGCCTGGATTGAGGAGTTGCAGCCATCTTCCCATTATGGCTGTGACAGGATGCAAATGGGCCCCAGTTTCTCAGCTCCTACAAGGCAGGCAGAGCAAGAGGCTGTGTTCAGCTAGTACTGGGAGCTTCCACACCGTACAGAATGGATGCTGAAGGTGGTCAGTTCTGCTGCTGGAGGCTGTTTCCAAGTGTTGGGCTCCTATGTCCTGGGCTTCTCTTGATTCTCAATGATAAGCTTGTCAGTCGAATACAGCTGGCCAATATGGACCTGAAAGCAAAGAAGAGATACAGGTCAAGAACTGTTGGACTCTGTCAGCTAATTTGGTTTGAGAGGGAGTCTCGCTATATAGTTTAGGCTAGCCTTAGTTTGGCCATCCTTCTGACTTAGCCTCCCAGGTTCTGGAATTATAGATGTGTGCCATCAGCCTGGCTTCATTCTAACAACTACGTGCAGGTGCTTGCCATGGCAGGTTGGTTCCTCTGGAAACTACAGGACCAAGTTCATGCCCATGTGCTGTTGCTAGTTTCCTTAATATCCGCCTCCTAGGCTACTTGCAATGGGAGGTTAGTAAGACCCTCACATTTCTCTCACATGTCACCATGGCCGGTCTTGGTATTTGGAGCTGGCAAGGCTATCGACCAGGCTCCCGGGCTGCCAGCTGCAGACCCATTCATGTGTAGAGCTCTTACCCCATGGAATTCGTTCCTGTACAGGGAGCAAGCAGCCTGTGCTGTCTATGCTGGGGTTGTCAGTTTGTGTTCGCTGCTCCTGCCCCATCTGTCCTGCCTCTTTTCTTCGGTTGTGTCCTTTTTAATTAAGTGTCTCTGTTGGTATCCCAATGCCCCCACTTCCTCAGATGCTGGAGCAGCAATGGAGGGCTGTTCCTTTTCCAAAACAAAGAGTTGTTGTCATGGTTTCCCACTAAAGACACTTCCTGGGCAATACTTTAAGGAACAAACTGAACCAGGGAAGAAAGTGCTGAGCATTAGGACGTCTGTCTGGATCTCAGCACTGGGACACTCTCTATGGACCATCTGGGGCGAGAAATTGCTCTTTACAAAGACAAATGAGAGCACACTCCCAAAGGCCAGGGCTGCTACCCAGAGCGGCCATGTGTCAGAATCCAGACTCTCTCAAGGCTTCTTCTCTCCACCCTCCTAGGAGACAGGATTTCTCTGTGTAGCCCTGGCTATCCTGAAACTTGCTTTGTAAACCAGGTTAGCCACAAACTCAGAGATCGCCTGCCCCTGGCCTCAGTGCCAGGATTAAAGGTATGCATCATCACACAGGTCCTTTTCCTGCCTTAATGCTCTAGCTTAAAGAGGGGGTCCAGGGGAAGGGAGTATGTTGTTAGCGAGGAACACAGTCAGTGTGGTTTGCTCCCACCAATGGTGGCAGCTGCAGAGGGTGTCCCGAATTCCTGTTTTCCCACACATTTGTCTTATCCTTGGTCTGGACTGCTCAAACACCCACATAGGTAACTTAATGGATACATTAGCTAAGTACAGAGTGTGGAAATGAGTATCAATGCAGGTGGCTTCAGTTGCCACCAATGAGTGCTTTAGAATCATTTCGAATGAAATAACAGTGGTAAGTTTACTTCTTTGTCTGTGGTCTTGTCATCAGCACAGAGAATGCCAGGTGGATGGGACCTGAGATGGTGCATTTCTCAGAAGCAGGACTGTGAGCACTGTTCATGGCTGGGACCTTCTGCAGTCTGAGATTAGTTGGGTAGAGTGTTTTTAAAAATTTTTATTGCTTTTGCTTATCTATCCATTCAGTTTCTGGATTTCTGAGTAATCATATCATAATCCTAGTGAGTGGAGCTAAGGAGCAGATTGGGGGTTCCCACCTTGACACATGAAATAACGGCTGGTGTCCTGAACCAAATGTCTTAAGAGAAAAACCAGTGCTTTTCTCAACCCTGAATATTTGTGATATATATTAGTAAGTTGGAAAAAAGTACATATTAATAAATTTGTAAAACCTATTAGTAAAATGTTTGGTGCTGTTTAACTCACTGACAAGCTGGCTCTGGAGGCTGGGGTGCCCCTGTCCAATTTCAGACCAAAGCATGTTTATGTCAGTGTGTCCTCAAAAGATCCCTTGTCTACCGAGCCCTATGAGAAACATAAAGGAGAAGAGAAAACAGTCCTCAGGAACAGGAGAGCAGCTTGTGAGAATAAAAACCGCATGTCCTTGAACACAGCTGGGAGGTAAGTCATTTCCAGGCACCTTCCCAGAGCAACTCTGCTACTGTTTACCCCATGACACAAACATAAAAATGCCTATGGCTGATGGTTTTGTGAGACAGGGTCCTGGCCGCCCTGGAACTCACTATTGTAGACCAGGTTGGCCTTCAACTCACAGAGGTATTAAAGGTATGTGCTACCACATCCAGCTTAACAGCTGCCTTCTTAACAGGTGCTCAACTTCTGCAGTCAAAGTATTGTCATCTCTCAGTCCTTTGTGAATGCCTCTGGTAAAGCTCTGCGATCTCAGAATGGCCCTGGTTTGGGTGAGGGTTGGGGTATTGGGCCATAGTCCTGTCTCATTTGTAGGGTAACATTCTCCTTGTTCTCCCTCCGGCCTCAGCCTCTGTACACTGTGAGGTCTCTGAGCCAGTGTGTACCTATGCTGTGCTGTCAATGTGCTAGTGAGGCTCCTCAATAGTGTAAGGGCTCTAAGACACTATACCTCTGTACACTGTGAGGTTTCTGAGCTACTGGGGTACCTTTGTGATTTTAAGGTTCTGAAGCCAGGTGTTTTCGTGTAGTGTGAGGTTCCCCAGCCAGTGAGAAACCTCTGTGGTATGAAGTCACAGAGGTAGTGGGGTACTTGTAAGGTTGTGAGATTCAGTTAAATGTTTTCCTTATAAGAGTTGCCATGGCGTTTTTTCTCCTTGGAATACAATGGCTGGAACACCAGCAGCCATCTGGCACTGTGTGTGAAGTCAGATTTGGGAGTCACACACTAAGAATGAGGGTACAGAAGAAGTATCAGATGCCCTAATGTTCATGGAGCTGCCCTGTTAGCTTAGGGTATCCTCCTGGGGGGAAAACTTACTGTTTTAAAAATCTGTTACTTTGATTTTGTGTTATGTAGCTAAAACCAACTCATAACTGCTTTGAATATACACTGTGAATATTAGCATATGACTGATGGGGGGAAAAAGGAGGTAGACCCTGTCCTGTTTATAATAAAAGGAAAGTGTCAGATAATAGCAATGTTCCAAAGTTTAAAAGCATTATAAAGGGACTTCAGAAACCCTTCCTCCCTAAACGTTGGATTGCATTATGGTACATAGCTATTGACATTTTCCTCGGAATTTTTTGGAAGGGGGTCCTGGGACTGGACTCAGGGCCTTGCACATTACATGCAAGCACTCTATCATTGAGGTACATTCCTAGCCCCTTGCCCCTGTCCCCAGTTTGTTAATTAATATAGGTTTTAAAATGTGCTCACTTGACAGTGTTTCCCAGCATGTGAAACCCTGTACTCAATCCTTAGAACTGTATAAATCAGGTGTGGCGGTGCACATCTGTTATCTAGCACTGGGGAAGTAGATGGAGGCAGAAAGATCAGATGCTGAATGCCATCTCTGGTGCATACTGATTATAAGTCCAGCCTGGCTACCCTGTCTCAAAAACACAAAAACAAACCAAACCAAACTAAACAAAGTGTGTACACATATACAAAACAAGATATTTAAATTCGGAATTGTAACTTGCTCATTCTACTAAACTTCATGTTATGATCACCATTTTTTTGAGCTAATATCTCTTTCAAAATTTTTTAATTATGTATATTTATGATGTATGTGTGTGTGTGTGTGTGTATGCATATGAGTGCAGATGCCTACAGGAGCCAAAGGTGTCAGATCTCCCAGTGTGGGTTTTGAGCAGATAGCATTCTTAACTGCTGAGCTATCTCTCCAGCCCCTGAACGAAAATCTTTAATAGGTGTATAAAGATGTGTCATTATAAAGATACAGCATATGTGTTTAGTTGTTTCACATCATGAACATGTAGACTGCTTCTGGTTAACACAAGGATGAATACTTATGTCTGTGTGTGTGTGTGTGTGTGTGTGTGTCCTTGTCTGATCTTTTTTGTTAATGAAAGTTTCTACAAGAAGAGTTACTGGGAGTAGGTATGACATTCTTAGGGATCCCAGAAGAGCTTCCAATCGGCTTTCAAAAGAGGTGTGCTTGGTTTTCCTACTGATGCTCCCTCTGGTGGTCTGAAGACTTCAGTGACACAAGACTGAATTCACTTTTACCTAAGTGTCAGGTTTTTAAAGTCCAGTTAAAATTTCAGTGCTGGGATAGAACCTAGGGCCACGTGCATGACAAATGTTCTACCCTTGAGCCACACTCCCAACTCTTAAATAAATTCATTCAGATGTGTAATCCTATGGCTTGGGCTGTGGTTTATGCAACTGGATCTTTACAACATAAATAGTGTTAAGTAAGCACAATGATGAATGAGATCTGCCTGTCTAGAATCTTGTCTGCACATAGCACGCCCCAGCTGCTCACTACCTCTGTCTGTAAAAGTTTCATACACTGCAATCAGACTGTGAGTCTCTGACTTTATATCTTTCTGCCTAGTATTCTCTTTCAAGAGAGACTCCATTGATGTCCACCCCAGCAAAAGGCAGCTAAGCCTGCCCATCATTTGGGTTTCCCTGGTCTCTTCTGTAGATGGGCTCTCTTCCTGAGAGAACGTGGTGACAGATGTTCACATGCCCTGCACTGACTTCAGACGAGCCCACGTCAATGACTGATGGAAGGAGAAGGCAAGAGGGAATGAACTACTGAACTGTGTTGCTTTCATACCCACAGCTCACGATAGAACAGGCAAGTGGGTAGTGTCCAGTTAGTACCACCACCTACCACATAATCACATTCTGACCAAAGATACATGTCCTACATGATGGTGGCCCTTTAACATCATATTGTCCAGTGGCACTGTAGCCATATTAGTTTGGACAAACACTCTATGATGCTCTCACAGTAATAACATGGGCTAAAGACACATTACTCAGAACATATCTATCTCATCAGGGTATGATGCACAACTGTTATTTGGTAACTGAAAATGGTGTCTTGCAGCCTATGACCATAAGATTCTATGCTGTTAATGCGAAGCCTAGATCTGCTGAGACTAAGTGTAGAAATACAGCCCCAATGAAGGCAAGCCAATAAAAACAACAATAGGAAGACTACTTCCTGAAACAAGAACATCCATTGACTGTTGAAGAGA